TCCTCTGGTCTTGCCAAATTTGTAACATAGAATTGGGGTCATGATAGTGGGGGGAGAAAGTATTAAAGAACTAGAGGAGTGCTGTATGTTTCAACAGTGCTATATTGCTCCCTGACAGACTCATCTCCTCCCCATTACCCTTCTGTAGGAGACGTCCAGCTGCCTACAGATGGGTTTTGGGTCTCCACTCTGCACTCACCCTCATTCACAATGATGTGATTTTTTGTTTTTTGATGCCTGATACCTGATCCCTTCAACACCTCGTGATCACAAAGGCTGGTGGGCTTGTTTCATGTGGACTTTGTTGCTTCTGAGCTAGATGCCCGCTTGTTTATCTTCAAGCCTTTAGGACCCCAGAGGCTATATCTTTTGGTAGCTGGGCACCATCAGCTTTCTTCACCATATTTGCTTATGCACCCACTTTGTCTTCAGTGATTGTGTTGAGAAGGTTAGCATCATGGAATGCCAGGTTATTAGAACAAAGTGTTCTTGCATTGAAGGAGTACTGGAGTAGAGGCCCAGTGCCCATCTGCTACCTTAATGCTAAACCTATAAATATATGTACATAGATCTATTTTCCTATCATCATAAAATATATTTACATATGCATATGTCTGTATTTAGAGCTTTATAAATGCCCTTTGCCTTCCAGTTCTTTCCTTATTTTTTTTTTTACTTTCCTCTTGTCCCATTATCATATTCAGCCTTCATTTGGGTTTCAGTAATTCCTCTTGGTTACGTTGCCCTTGATCAAGCCCTCCCAAGCCTCCTACACCATCCTTGCCATTGATTTTAGATCACTTGTTGTTCCCTTATCCCTGGATTGTTAATACCTAGTTCCTTTCCCATGCTTCCCCCTCTCCCATGTCCCTCCCATTGTTTTCTCCTCCGGATTGTTTATCCCACCTATCTTATCTAGAAAGATATTCAGAGACAATAATAAGCACAAAAACAAGGACAGAGTAAAACAAAGCAACAAAAGAAAACAAAACAACAACAAAAAAACAACGGCAACAAAAGAAAAGCCTGTAAATAGTTCAAGGTGCGTTTGTTGACCTTTAGGCATGTTTTCCAGTCCAGTCTGATAGGGTGCCATGCCCTGGCCCCACAGTCTATTTTTAGTAATCCCCCAGGAACTTCATTGCTCTGGTCCCCTTGCTGTTCTGTTGCACACCCTTAGTATTTCACTTCTGTGTGGTGGGCACAATTCCCACACTGTATCTCCAGTGTTGTCCCCTGAAGTAAAGCTATTTTAAAACAAGGGTCAACCAGGGTCCCTGATTCCCAGGCACCTGTGGCCTCTAACATTCCAGGAGGGCTGGCACAGGTACTGAGCACTCGTCTCTACGGCAGAGGTCACACTGTAGTCCTGAGTCACAGCACTCAGAGGCTGTCCAGGTGGGTGGGAGGGGAAGGATGGGAGCTGGAGGGTCATTGTGGACATGAAGCCAATGCAAAAGCCCTCGCTCTTGCCATGCCCAAGGGAACTGTCCACCTGCTGGCTGCCTCTCCAGGCACACTCCTCTTGGTCCACTCAGCTCAGAGATCCATTTGTGTCCCGAGGGAGAAGGCTGCTCCCCTCACGTTATAACCAGTGCCAGAGTTTCTGAGTGTGCTGGATGCTGACCTTAGTGCAGACCTCAGCTCTTTGCCAAGAACGTGTCCTCCACAGTTTCACTCATTCTAACCTGGCGAAATCAAGAGGGGCCTCGTGGCGCAGAGGTGAAAGCACTCGGCTGCTAACTGCAGTGACCTGGGTTTGAATCCATCACCTGTTC